ATGTACAAACTATATATGGTATATTTCACATGGGACCCATATCAGACATGACATGCATCAAAATCCTGTAGTAGTGAAGTATCTGAAATGTCTTGTTTCTTTTTCTCTGCAGGCACATTTTTTATCTTCATGTAAAGAATGATCTTAGTGAAGGCAAACTTGACGCTTCAACGGTTCAAGCTGCGAAGCTTTGCGCACTTATTGCACAGGCTGAAAGTGGAGACTACAGCAAAGACAAATCACAGTACAATTTCTACCCACACTACATCCCAAACTGGCCAACAACTTTTTCCACTAATGTTGTAATGGAGCACAGAAAGTTGGCAGGCATGAATCGAGGTGCTGCAGAATATCGCGTCCTCCAGGAAGCCTCGGCATGTGAAAATTTTGGCATGGAGTATCACGAGGTACGCAATAATGTTGGACAACCAATGAAACTGGGAGTTGGACCAAATGGCTTAACCATTTATGAAGATGACTATACGTTTGTGCAAAGGTAAGTTATTATTCAGCATATTATTGTATTGTACCTACCTACCCTACTATTTAGAAATGTTGTGAACAATTTTAATTTTGTTTTTAATATCAATTCCTTTTTTTCAAACTGGACAGCAAGCAAAAAACTTGAATAATTAGGCAAAATCTTGTGTTTTTCGCCTACACATCAGAAGTAGTATGCTTTTTTTTTATTTTTATTTATTTTAATTAATATATGTAGTCTGCCAGAAATGACATAATGCAATGATAAAAAAAAATCATAAAAAATGTTGCAGGTTATAAAATTAATAAAAAAAATAGCTTTGTTCAAAGTCCAACAGTTGCATGTTTGTGTTTCTGTAGTTGTATTTGCAAAGAACTACAGTACAACAATGCTTATAGATCTGTGTTGAGACAAAATGGCCAAATTCAATTTATTTTAGTACGAACGACTTGTGAAACTCTACGACTTTTATTTCTCACTATATACACCGGGAAAAACAAGCAAACTTTGTTTAACGCAATGAATGATAATGTTGCTGGCTGAACAATGTAATTATGCAGCCTACGTCAAATCAGCTGATATTAGGAATTTTCAGAAACCTAGGGAGTGGTGGCTATTACCAAACAGCTTGGGGGCACCAGCTGTTCCTGTGGATCCATAATGTATCATTATACCTAGTTGTTTTTTTCTAAAATCAATATCCAACAAGTCACCATGGATACCAATAAATGAAATTTTTTTAGTTATATGGTTTCATGATACATATGCCAGGCATATTTTGTACTTTTTAGTGGATGTACAGTTCAAAGCTCTGATCTTGATTGCAATCCATGTTGGCTATTTATAGCACTGTTACTAGGCAGGCATAGCAAGGAATAGATTGTGTACTGCCAATAACCATGTTATTCAGATACTGTCATTAAATGTAACTGCTTAGGTTTCTGTTTTTTTCTTATACTTCCCAATGAAAAAAAAAAATCATGGTTAGACTAAATTTTTTTTTTTTTAAATTATTTCTGGATATTATAATACAGACTGATTTGCAAATATATCTACATGTATTATAAATTTAGAAATTATTTCAGTTTTAGAAAAATTAAAGCCACATGAATGTTTTTCAACATTTTGATAATTAAATGTGTTTTATTTGTGCATACTATTTGGTTTACTTCACAGTAAAAGAATGAAAATATTGTGTCATCTTGTATAACTTGTCTTTTTATCTTTCTGTTATAGCGTCAGCTTTGCGCTTATAAAGATGGCTACTCATACCAATAAATGTTTCTTCTTAACGATTCTTGGACCAACGGGAGACACCATGATGTTGGGGTTCAAGCTTATGTCAACGAAAGCCGCTGAAGGACTATATCGTGCAGTCACGGAAAAGCATGCGTTTTACCGTTGTGAAACAGTTCGTCAGGCGGTGAGGACACAGTACAGTCGGGATTTCAAGGGCACCATTGTTGCCCTTTTCAATGATAAAACAAACCTTGGCAAGAAATATGTTTTTGATATCCAGCGTACTTGTCGTGAAGTGTACGATCACGCCAGACGGCTGATCCACTCAACAGGGAAAGCTATCTCTCTGCCATCCACACCTACAATGAGCTCATCACGAACATCTCTCAGAGACCGTAGTTTCAGTGACAGCATGGACTCTTTAGACTCAAAGCAACTACGTGAGAAACTCCGGAAGATCCAGGAGTCCATGTTATGTAAAGTTTGCATGGATGCAGACATCAGTACTGCTTTTTGTCCCTGTGGACACCTTGTCTGTTGCGGTGTATGTGCAGCTTGCTGTGACAAGTGCCCTCTCTGCCGGTCTAGCGTGGAACACACACAACATATTTTTTTGCCAAGTAGTACAGACATGAATGAAATTGAGGAGTAACTTGAGAGAGAAGTAAGCAATTTGAAAATTGCCAAAATATTTATTGTCATCAGCCCGGGTGATCAGATAGATGTTGTACATACATTACATACATCTTACCCACTAGTATCTATCGTTTCAGCAGAAAACAATGCAGCAGTCTTTGTCATAGCAGAAAACAATGCAGCAGTCTTTTGTCATAGCAGAAAACAATGCAGCAGTCTTTTGTCATAGCAGAAAACAATGCAGCAGTCTTTTGTCATAGCAGAAAACAATGCAGCAGTCTTTTGTCATAGCAGAAAACAATGCAGCAGTCTTTTGTCATAGCAGAAAACAATGCAGCAGTCTTTTGTCATAGCAGAAAATCAGGCAATCATGTTTATTGATTCTACTTTTAGTTAAAATGGAAATGAATAGAAATCGTTTCTGTTAATTTGCAAATGCTCAGTATGTAATATATCAAACAATAACAGGAAGAGCCACTTGCTGTTGGTTTTAGCATCCTGCCTCCCTTGTAAATGTAACATTTAATATAAATTATTTGAGATTATTGTTTTGTGTCTACACAGATTTTTTGATGATACCAACTATTTACAAGAATATTTTTTTTATATTGTAGCATTTCTGTTAAAAACGCCAGTCAGTTTTGTTCGGGAGCAATTAATTGATTGCTTGATTTAGAAATGCTATTTTTTATAGGCATTTATGAAATGGAGAAGCAAAGTGAAGCATTAAATGTGAGGATACAAGATGGGACTCCTCTCCCTCCCTCCCTCCCAGTTGTGTTAAAAATATAAAACTTTTGTATTGAAAACATTAATAATTGTAGATTTTTTTTTATAGTCATTGCAATATTTATGAAATTTTTAAAAAAAAATAAAAACATTTGTATATTTCTTGTCAAACCGTTCTACAGTTTCTTTTGGAAAAAAAAATAACCAAGAATATCGATTAGATTTGGCTCCTGTGTAGTCAGTAAGATCATGACTGTAGCTTTGAAATTATTGTTGAAAAAAACAACAATAGTTTATTAGTTTGTAACAGATAATGTGGAATTAATATAACATTCTTAGTTAATCAGAAATCTATAATCAAGTTGTATAGGAATTGCTTTAGTTTTATTTCCCTGCTTATTCATGGTATGGTGCAGATATTTCTTCATAAGCTAGCGTCGCTTTCACTAATGTCCACAATTTCTAATTACATCAATCTCTCCCAAGCCCATTATTTTAATTTAAATGCTAAGATACAAGTTCCAATTTGTCATTTACATATTTGTCTTTTTAGTATCACTTTTCTGTTTGTAATTAAAATTTGACAGTAATTGATTATTACCCATGCCTGTGTTTCGAGTTTTTGAAAGATTTCTGTAAAGATCCTGTTTTGTGAGGTTTGATTACTGTCAATATTGAATTCAATACATAGTGGTAGTGAGATGTATAACTATAGCTATATATATAACTATATAATTAGCTCACTAGAGAATCACATTATAATTACAGAAAAACAAAAGCAATCAACAGAATTGTTTAGCAGGAGTGGGTTATCCATTTGGTGTTTATGAAAACTGATTTATTAGATTGGAAATCCAAATTAGAAGAACTGTGAACCCAGTTAGGATCTGTTGAATTCCGATTTTGAAAACCCAATTGGATGCTGTAGGTCTCCTTTAAGAGAACGAGTTGGGTGCTATGCCTTTTTATCAACCCCATCTGGTGCCATGTGTTTCTATTTGGAAAACCTGGTTGGGTGCAATGTGTATATATGTTGCAGTATAGTTTGTAATAAATCAATTCTTGCCTTTAAATTTCATTGAAAAAATTATCATACTGTATTGTCTAGGTCTTTGGGTGCTGTACTATGCACCATCAAGTGTGTCTGGCACAGAAAGAAGAGACCAGATCTAAAAGCTGCTCTCTCATTGGCCTAACTATAATAACATAAGACCTGCATCAATTTGTACTGGCAAAAGTGTGTTTTTGTTCTTATTAGATCCTATTTTACTACTTGACTTGAGATTTTGATGTAAAAGTCTACTTAATATTTAGAGTTAACCTTAAATGTATTGTCACTTTTGAAGTATGGTGCTATCATATATTTGTGCTGTACTTTTAACAAAGTGTTTGTAAAGATGGAAAGTCACTGGAGATAATAACTGCCATGTTTTCAACAAACTTAAGATGAGAATTGTGAGTTTGACATAAAATTTTTGGGATGGGGAGGTCAACGGCGGATGGAATCTGGAGCTATTGAGTTGATTAGACAGTGACAGATTTGTTTGTTCACTAAGTACATGTTGTCTGCTTGCTTATGGTGAATATGGCAGTCTTGTTCACCAACATGCTGTCATTGTTTCTCTTGACTTAGATCACAAGTCTTGATTACAGCTTTTGTAATTGCTTTCAATATTTTTTCTGATGTCACGAAAACCAGCTTTACTAAATTTTTTTTATTTCTACGAAAAAAAAAACATGCTTCTTTAGTAGTATTTTATTTTATGCACACTATATTTTAGCTTTATTATTATTATTCTTCTTTTCATTAGATTATATTTTTCCTACATGTCAAAACTATATATAAAAATACTAAAAAGATGATCGATGGCATGTGGTTTGCTAAACCATCTGTAAATAAGTGTACATTGTCTGTATTCAAAGATTGTATTTAATGAGAATGAAAGGAGAGATATTTTATTAAAAAGAAGACACTGTATTTGAGACTTTAATAAAAAAGGAAGTTGTCTGGACACACACAGATTAGAAGATACAATTTTTTGTTTTTGCTACTTTTCACAAATACCAAGATGTTCTATCTCCACTAATCAGTATTTTCTTGGTGTGTTCTCAGTGAACTTGAACTTTTGTGCTTACTATGAGTGATATTTTGTACAAAAGATGAGCATTTTTACAAGCTTGTCCGTTGTACGTAAGAGGTAGGTCTGAGAGATTGCGGGTTTGACCTCTTTAACTTGCCTACTGCAGGTCTCTTGCTATCATGTGTATCCTTGTATTAAAATACAATGGTTCTGTAAAGACGATAAAGTATTAATAAAAGTCATAAATAAAATTGCTATCAATGTGATGTCAGAAGGATGGAGAAACAAACAATCCCCCTTCATTGAATGGAAATTATTTTTTCAACTGAAGGAATTTGGTTTCATTTACCTATACACATGTACTTGATAAAATATTTTTCAAATTTTCTGAAAATGTTTACATACAGTCTTCAATACAATTTTACCCTTTTTCTCTCTCTCCTAAACCACAATTTTTATTTAAAAAAAAATCATCATTAGTTATCAAATGGGTATCCCTTGTATTGTTGGTTACATTACATGAACTAGCACAGCTAGGAGTGTTTCTATACATTGAATGACCAGCCAGCCCCATCATATAAAGCAAAAGTGTGCAGAAAAATAACCATGATATTGATATGTGATAGTTTCCTGAGGCCATGTTGATAGCTGGCTGGTTACCCGTGAGCACATGTTGATAGCTGTCTGGTTACCCGTGAGCCCATGTTGATGGCTGGGTGGTTACCTGTGAGCCCATGTTGATGGCTGGCTGGTTACCTTGTGAGCCCATGTTGATAGCTGGTTGGTTGCCCAGTTAGCCAATGTTGATAGCTGGCTGGTTACCCAGTTAGCCAATGTTGATAGCTGGCTGGTTACCTGTGAGCCCATGTTGATAGCTGGTTGGTTGCCCAGTTAGCCAATGTTGATAGCTGGTTGGTTGCCCAGTTAGCCAATGTTGATAGCTGGCTGGTTACCCAGTTAGCCAATGTTGATAGCTGGCTGGTTGCCCGTTAGCCAATGTTGATAGCTGGCTGGTTACCCGTGAGCCCACGTTGATGGCTGGTTGGTTACCCAGTTAGCCAATGTTGATAGCTGGCTGGTTACCCGTGAGCACATGTTGATAGCTGGCTGGTTACCTGTGAGCCCATGTTGATGGCTGGGTGGTTACCCGTGAGCCCATGTTGATAGCTGGCTGGTTACCTGTGAGCCCATGTTGATGGCTGGCTGGTTACCTGTGAGCCAATGTTGATAGCTGGCTGGTTACCCGTGAGCACATGTTGATAGCTGGCTGGTTACCTGTGAGCTCATGTTGATAGCTGGTTGGTTGCCCGTTAGCCCATGTTGATGGCTGGCTGGTTAGCCGTGAGCCCATGTTGATGGCTGGTTGGTTACCCAGTTAGCCAATGTTGATGGCAGGCTGGTTAGCCGTGAGCCCATGTTGATGGCTGTCTGGTTACCCGTGAGCCCATGTTGATGGCTGGGTGGTTACCCGTGAGCCCATGTTGATGGCTGGCTGGTTACCCAGTGAGTCCATGTTGATGGCTGGTTGATTACCCAGTGAGCCCATATCATAGCTACCTGGTTAACCCGTCTAGATCAGAATTGCTGCTGAGATTTGGTCTTCATGGTCTGTGGGAATTGTGATGTGGATTGGCTGATAAATACTATCATACATGCTTATCTGAGTATGCTTATTTTTGAACAGTAGGAGAGTTTTCGTTTTCCTCATGCCACAATGTCAGTTGTTAAAAACTTTTGCTGTCACAATGTTTGAACTAACTGTGGCTTGTAAAGTAACACTCCCACATGAAATGCGATACCTCATGAACTTGGCAAAAACAGCTGTTGGTTCTGTACAGCATAGAAACTGAAAGGAAAATAAACATATCAGCTGTGCCTATATGTAATACCACTGGAATTCTACCCTATATGTAGTACACTTCTCCAAAACTGTCAGCTGGATTGCCTTACTATTCATACCACACATACCTGGGATGGTCCTCTGTAAACCTCTATTTTTTGGGAACATTTTTTCCACAACTGCTTGTCAGATTGCTTTGAATATTGACATGAATGTTGTTGACAAGGATTACACTCAGACATATTATTTTTTTGGCATCATATGAAAGTGTCTGTTTTTAGTGCATTCATTTATTCTTTTTGCTAATTTTTGTGTACTTTCAACTTCTCTGGAACTGCCTGCCACATTGCTTTGAAATTCATAATGTAAACACATAGACTGGTTCTCTCTTGAGTTTGTTCACTCATTGAAGATAGCTCTATTTTTGTGGAAGTTATGATTTTGGATTTTTCACTTACCATACGTTATATATGGACTATGTATAATGCATGGACTCCAGTAGACAACTGTATCAGTTGGAAGCTAGGCTTCCTCAGTACACATTGTTTTGGGAAAACTAGATGGGCCAATGTTTTCCAGGAATGCTCAGATTCAGGTCAAGGTCATTTCAAGAATTATAAGTTTGCTGCTTTTATATGGGTGATATTGAACAGTGAAGAGGGGGGGGGGGTGGCTTGAAACACCTCCCAAAATCATCAAGGTCACGTGTT